ATGGGGAGCAGGTCCTTTCTTCAGAGTCCGCCATGTTTTTTACAGTCGTCCAAACAGGACAATCTAAACACCTTTTGAGTTTTTATGACAACTGAAGTCTACCACATTTTTCTTTTATTCAGCTGCAACATGCAACTTCACCACTAGATGTCATTAAATTCTACACACTGAACCTTTAAGATCTAATAATATGAGAACAGACAGATGTCAAAGCCCAGAGCCCAATCTAATCTCAGACAGACACACTCATACCCACAGACACACACATGTGAGGGGAAAGATAGAAATGATCTAGAAAAGTTTGTTCTATGTCCAAGACACAAGATAAATGTAGGAATATGCACATGCAATTGTTAAATCCAGCCAAGTCAAGCACAGGAATATAAAGCACCAAAACAGAGCGAGAGACAGAGAGAGAGAGAGAATTTATAAATACAAATGCTGTTAATTAAAAAAAAGACCCCAATCCTCCCATTTATGTTATTTGGTGGCAGTTTCTCACAGTGTACGACTGAGATAAGCTCATGCAGCCAATCCCAAAAGTATCTCTTTTTTTGCCAGTTCAGGCCCATCAGGAGAGCTTTTTGAGTATTTGGAGGATAAATCTCATCCAACAGTCAAGTCAGGAGAGAGAGACTGGTGATAGACCTCAGAAAACATTTTACTTAATAAGCTGTGTTAATATGTCAAAGGAACAACGAACAAATCTTTGATTCACGGCACAGTGATGACCACACGTCTTAAAAACACCAAATAAGGGCTTTGTTTATGTTCACTAAATTATACAATGACAGATTTATTTATGAGAGCCTCCAGTGTTTGCGTTGAACACTCAGAGCCCTGCTTGGCTTCACAGTCTCTGCAGTCCCACTGTGTCTCCTGAATGTCCACCTGTCTCTCTGTGGCTCGACCACTCAGGGCCTGTCTGCCAGCTTGTGGACATCTGTTTACTTCCTCCTCCATCGGTCGTCATGGCCACAGACCCCCCCAACCCCCTCACTATTGCCATTCTCTCCCCTCCCCTCCCTTCACCGGCCGGCCCTTTCCACCCCTCTCTCGTGTTTCCCCCTCACACCAGCTGTGAACCACTTATGCTTATCCTGCAGTCCACCTAGACTTGTCACATCGGCGGATACAGCACAGCACAGCACTCTCTCTGAAACTGTCACTGTACTTTGCTGTGTGTGCTGGTTTGCTGATCCAGAGACAGCTTATCTAAATGTGCACTATGACACTGGATACGTTTCTAAATTTCAGATTTGTAAAGAACAAACTATCAATGGGAATGACAGTATGCACATGGTTGAATGCCAAATGTAGTTTTGTTGTTGACCAGCAGAAATTGCATTAAAAAAATATTATTTTGACATATAGAAATGCCTTATGTTATCTGATTTGATCCACAGTATATAATCTTTGATATTTTTTAAGTTTAAATTGAATCAATAACTGTAACTGTACATTATTTATCATATCCCTGTTGCCCTGGAAACCCTGGGTGACCTGACTCGAACCTTGACCTACACTACAGGCAGCACAGAACACCTGAGCTTTATATTCAGCACATTAAAGACTAAAAGAACAGCATTAACAGCCAGTCATCATGAAAGCAAAGCTGCTTTGCCTAATATCCAAACATTTGTTTCAGATGATGTGTGAAAGCATGTTGAGGCGATGTCTGTTTGCTCATCTTGAAAAATATCAGCACTGGGACTTTTATTCACCGACATACTTATGTGAAGTGCCAGAGGGAACATCTTTCTTTATATTACATCATTAAAAGTTGTAAAAAAGGTTTGAAAGGCAAAAAATGTGTGTAAATGTGGACCATGCATCTGACAGATCTTAAATGGTGACACATTTTCAGTGTGTAGAAGACGACCTGTGCCCGTAGACATAAAGGCTCATTCTAACAAATCAAAAGCACAATGATTCTTAGTCTCAGGTTATTCTAATTAAGAATATTAGATTCAATTCTCCCTTAATCCTACATACAGGACATTTAAAATGATTTGTTCTACTCATGTTGTTTAAATAACATTCCAGTGTTATGATACAGTGCACTATGTACTGTTTCCTGTTTTTTAAGATATATATTACAGTGACATGAAAATAAGTGCAACATATGGAATAAACCTTTATGTGGGATTATTTGTATGACATTAAGGATTAAATGGATGGGTATCTCCATATTCATTGTTTTAATTGGCACAATGTAAGTGAAACATGAGTAGACAATAACACAGATGACATCAAATGAATTCAGTCTGATGTCATGTAGGAAAAACCCTTACAGCCGAGTTCAAGCATGTGAACTTCAACTTTATTGTCCCCGAAATTAGTTTTGCAGCTAGGCAAAAAAAAAAAAAAAACTCGCTAGCAACACAGACACACAGTATCGGCCACAAGAAAGCAAAACATTAAAATACATAATGAATACATCAAATAGCAGAGCACAGAAAACAGAGAATGTAAATGTTTGCTCTTGGTTGGTGATAGACAGGTTGACTGTCTGTGTGACCAAATAATGATGACATAACAAGATGTCCATATCCAAGACATAAAATTGCCTCTGATTCTAACAAAGCACCAGATTTGTGAAGTCGCTGAGCACATGTTCACTTATGACACGAGGCTCTACGTGACACAGCGCCTGACTGAGAGCCAGGTACCCAAATCTGCTTCGCGTCCCATCTGCCCCCATCCTGATAGACTACCCCCCCTGCACCGACACACTCTCCCCCTCCGTCACACTGGGCAGCAGCAGCTCACAGAGGGAGGTGTGGAGCAGCCAGTGATCAGAGTGAATTAGAGTTATGCTTGACATGCAAAGGAGAGGCTCCAGAATGTGACAACAGCTGAGTTTTAAAGTGAAGCTTTTCTGCCTGAGGGGAGACGAATAGACGACAAAGACAGCGTATCCCGCAGTGAAAAGAGTCAACCCCTTTTGTTGGCTCTTTATAAACAGAGACATGTTATCCACTGACCATCTTGGAGCAAGCTTGTCTTCAGTCTTTAAGTAGAGCTATTTATTAATCAACAAGATTGTGACAGTATAAATAGTTTTTGTCTTTTTTAACACCAGGCCTAGTAAATATACTCAACCCTGAAGAAATCTCCTGTTCAACCATGTGAATAATGAAAGAAACAAGTTCTAAGTCTTAAGATTCATGTTTTACTGCCTTTATATTTGAATGTTGTTATATATAATTTGACCAATGAATCATATCAGATTCCATATGTTCACTTTCGATATATATATATATTTGCATGGAAAAAAACATTCATTAAATTCTGAACCTCCAAGGTCTTTATTTCCCTAAAGCAGATCTTGACACTGATTTTCAATCCATAACATGCACTGTGATTGAGTGAGTGTGTGATGTTGTACTTAAAATAATGGAAGTATAGGAGGGTACAAAGAATGCAGCTTTCCTGCCAAGAAAATCTGTGTTCAATCAAACAATCAAACAATTTCGTATTTTGATAATCCAAGGAATTTCAGAAATAATAAAGTATTTCATAGCATAGTAGGCTTAGAAAGTTATTTTCTATATCACATAGTATATAAAACATTTCTTGTGCCATTGAAATTAAAACATATCAGTATTACAAAGCGAATAAAACAATGTAATCTTGTATTTGCCCTCAGGTTGATCCTCATCAAGCCTCAGCCCAAAGGTGATATTTTCTGCAACCTTATACATTTGTGCTGTGGCCCAGTTTTTCAGGCCCAGAAGTCATGACTCTTCAAGGTATTTCACAACAGTGGAGTTCATTTGTTTGGCCTAACATTACGTTTGTGTTTTCCTTCGCACATCTCGGCCTGATGGGAGTATCCTGTGACACCTCTGAAGCCTCACATCTCACCTTTCCCCCGGTGTGTGACACTGACTGCCGAGCCCCGAGTATCCTGACAGAGCTTTCAGTGAAATGAACACCGCGCCGCACACAAGCTTTTTACTCAAACCGGTTACAGAGCCACAAGGTTGAGGAAAGTTTACGTCCCCATCCCCCTTTGTAATTTAATATAACATCACGGTGAGCAGTGTTGGCTTGATAGTGAAGAGGTGTTTTGGTTTCCTGGATGACAGATCCTCCTTGTTGTAATATCTTGAAAATACTTTGTGGTAACATCAGCCTGGTTCATCTATCACACAAACTGACTTGTAAGTTCATACAAAGTCATTTATTCTGGTGGAGAGTGTCTGTCTGTTTCATCAGCAGATATTTGTGCATGGTCCAAACCAAGGTTCAGGTTTTTGTTACATTGTTTACATTTGATCTGGATAGTTTTGGTTTCACATGGTAATTTAGGGAGCTAAATACTTGTGTATGACAGTTGTGCGTCCTGTCGTGATCACCTATCTTCTGCCTCTACCTATACTTGACAATGATTGGTTTGTAGACAGTGTGCACCTGACATGGGCGTGTTGTCAATTTGGCTCTATTCACTCACTTTCTTTTTGCTAACTTATTTCTTATTTTTTATTGCTGTCTCAACTTCCTGTAATCAGTCCAAAAGGCCGAACTAAAAATGTTTCACAATGCGAAGGAACCAAACTATGGTTCTGGACCGAGATCACCTCTTTTGGTCCAAACAACATTTTGGTTTGCTGGTCCAAACCTTGCTCCGAGGCACCTTTCACACTTGTTACCCACCACGTCTAACTGTGGCTCCAACAGTCAGGGAGCATCCAATTGTGTTGTTTTTTGTGTAAACTTGAAAAATGTGTGATGATTTTGACCCAGTTTAAGTTCCCATAGAAAACCACATTGTAGAGTCATTAGAAAATACAGTTAGGGAGCTGAAATCAGGAACTGCTCCAAACAGAATACATTACCATCATATGCATCATGAGCTCTCTAACCCCAACTGTAAAACAATCTCCTTTCATACATGCACGCCTCCACTGTCATGCACCTTTCTGGTGGGACTGATCCTCAGCTCCACCCCAGCCCCACTCTGACTGGTACCTCCGGTTATTTCCACGGTGGGCGGGTCCGAGACTCATTGGCTTTAGGACCCAGTGGAGGCAGGCAGCAGCAGCGGCTCGGCTCTCAGACTGAAGGCAGACAAAGGCGAGGAGAGAGACGGCGTGCTTCTTCCATCCTGCTGCATAGACTCACTCCCCCCCTCCACACACTCACACACACACCCTTCACTCCTCCGCCGGCAGCTGCAGAGACGCAGGTAAGTCCTCCACTTGGTGGGATCATCCACAGACTCTGCTGATCCAAGGAGACATTGGATTGGGCTGGTTTAGAATGGGGAGTGGGTAAATTGAGTGAACACAGTGGGTATTCATGTGTTGGATGAAGGATTTTATATTTGAGGTGATCAGATGTGAGCAGGTGGATTGTGAGGAGGTGTAGTGCCCCTCCCCTCTTTTTTTCTGGTGGAAAACTTGCATTTTGTGCAGCTGCTCTGCTGCCATGTGGCCTCACCTCCTCCATCCTGCATAAAGGAGAAGAAGTGAGGCATCAGGAAACTTTTCTCTTTGTGGGTGTGATGTGAAAGCAGCTTTGTATAGCGTGATGTGAGAGATACAGTGGATGTGTGTGTGTGTGTGTGGATGGGTTCTGATGGAGAGAGTCATGCTGTGGTATGGAGTGGGAGTGGGAGGCTTGTTCAGGAGCAGAGAAAAAAAAATAGGAGTGTTGCTGCTGCTGCTTAAAATGTGAATCTGGATTTAATGTGATGATCAAACTGCAGTGCATCAATCTGCCTTAAAAGGGAGGCGATCATGATGTCATGTCACATAGCTTTGCACTGGAACTGTTTGATGATGAGTGTCCTGTCTGAGAGAAGCATGGTGCTGCACCTCCTGGACTCAGCAGCAGTGATGGTGGTGGTGATGTCACTGTCTGAGACAATGGACCGTCCTAGTTGATGCTCCACTGGGGAAGGGTCACACTCAGATCTGCCCATTATGCTGCAGCAGATGGGCTCCAAACCTGGCCTTTGTCAGCTGAGGAGCACCCATTCTGCTCAAGTCCCACCCCTCATCAGTGAGCCTGTCATAAAACGCCAGTCAGCAGCAGCAGCACCAGGGGTTCAAGCTGAGAGTGGAGGGCCCCACCACATGTATGGGTGGCGGCACCATGTGTCTATCTTGCATGATGCACTGTATATGTATAACGTAAAGGGTTTCAAATGATATCAGTGATTATCACAATATCATTTTCATCCAGAGCAATATAACCAAACTAATTATGCTTATGCATTATGCAAGCACAGCGAGGAGGTACGACACGTAATCGATCGACCTTAGGTTTGTAAAGTGTTTGTCTTTTTCTCTGCCAATAAAGATGAGTTTAAAGCTTCAACCTTTACAAAACCAGGTTTTAAACTCAATAGACTTATTAATGTGATGTTGATCGTTATAATATCGATATTGAAATAACATCTGGTAATATCATTCAGCCCTACTTTAAATCGTGGAAAACCACAAAGGAAAGATTCAGTGAACGAATGAGCAGTGTCAGACAAAATTTCATTGGCTGGTTTTGCATGAAACAAAATGGTGTAAGGGACAGACATGAGTCCTGAAGGGAATATCCTTGACTTTTTAATATGTTCATTGGAAGTAGGACTGGATGATGTGTACAATTGATGTCCTATTTGAACTAGGCCTGCAATTAACAATTCATTTTCTTATTAATAAATGTGATAATTCCCAGTTCAATCGACAAGCCAATAGAACAGCCTTAAGAGGTTTGAGTTTACTCTGATTGAAAACAGAAGAATTCCTCTCTTCGGAGAAGCTAAAAAAAAAAGTGCAGTTGAATTTAATCAAAGAAGTACTTCATTATCAAAATGTCAGTGTCTATGGACCAATTGATTAATCAACGATGATCAGTGTTCTGTTCAGGAAACAACTGGCATGTGGAACAATTTAGTGATGTCATCATGATGCAGCTCTACTTAAATAATAGTGACTCACAGTGTGTATGAAATTGTGATAAAATGGTGCATTATTAAAACAGACTTTATCAGTGACAGAAGTTTCCTTGTTAACCAGCCACTTAGAGTTGAGCTGTATTTAAAGAGCTGTGAGCTGTCAGTCGATACTGTCAAGTCCTGTTGGCTAATGAAGACCTGTGAGTGAAACAAGTGACATGCACGACACCTTTGGCTTATTTATTCTGCTCCTCGGTTTGGGATTTGAGATCACTCTTGTTTTAAAGAACACATAATGAATGAAAAGTCAGTCGAGCAGGGCTTCAAACAGGGCACAGATAACGTCCTCTTTTATGTCGGTATTTATGTTTTACAGCGGTGTAAAAGTTTTCAACATAAAATATATGTTTAGATGTGAAATACATGTTTTAATGAGTTTTTGCTCAGGGTTGGGAGTATTTTTACTCCGCTCAGATCGGAGATTAACAGGGAAAGACTCTAGCCAGTCTATCTTGTAGAATAAATTGTGTATTGTTTAATGGCTGAAGGTGCATCATTTGAATTCATCATAAGAACAAATCCCCACGATTTGCAAAATATATGGTGAAAGTGATTACGGCTCTAACTGAGGTTAAATTGTTGAATGATTGCACAATATATATTAACGATAACAATGGTTAATCAGACTCTGACTTCAACTGTTGCTGTATTCCTGACATTTGAACTCTCCATGTCTTCTGGTCCCTGTTTTTGGATCAAGCCAAGAGATTAAAACTCAATGTTGTATCACAAATTATATATACTATAATTTCAGTATGTTACTTTACGATGCATCACATATATTGTTTTCCTTCTTTTCTTAGACTCTTCGGAGCTGGTCACCACCACCACACATTCGTCACAACCATCACAACTTTCAGTCACCATGGAGCTAGACTTTGGACATTTTGACGAGCGAGACAAGGCATCCCGCACCCCACGTGGTGGGCGCATGAATGGACTCCCCAGCCCGACCCACAGTGCCCACTGCAGCTTTTATCGCACACGCACCCTGCAGGCCCTCAGCAATGAGAAGAAAGCCAAAAAAGTGCGCTTCTACCGCAACGGAGACCGCTACTTTAAGGGCATCGTGTACGCTGTGGCCAACGACCGATTTCGCACCTTTGACGCCCTCTTGGCTGACCTCACACGCTCGCTTTCTGACCACATCAACTTGCCACAGGGCGTCCGCTTCATCTTCACTATTGATGGCATGCAGAAGATCGAATCCTTGGATGAGCTAGAGGAAGGTAAGCATTGTTTTAGCAGGACCCCCCACCCCCCTAAGCACTAATCTGATTTAATGCATCTCCTTCGTGGGATACCGGATTGTTTGGATTATCAATTTCTTTGTTCACCAGTAGAGCTGTCCTGGTGAGATCAAACTGAGACATTATAGGCCACCATGCTAAAGAAGATCAAGTCAGTTTCTGCGCTGAGAAGATTTAAAAGAATAACATTTCCAGTTTTTTGAGATTAGAAGTCTTATCTGTCTGGTCTAGACTCCTATAATCTCTTATATGATGTAGTAACTTTTAATCTGGTGGGTTACTTTGGGGCAGTTCAGTGACATGGTCGACTTTTGTAAATTCTTTCAAACTGTTTCTCTCTCTTTCCCTGACTGAGAAATCTGTTTGCAAAATCATCATTCATTCTCAAACTGGTTATATCCCATGTCACTCATAATAAATAGTATTTCATGATTCAGCTGTTGAAGATTTCCCGCTGACGGAGTTGAAAGCAGGTCCTCTGCCTTGGTCGTAATGGGGCTCAGGGGTCTCAGTTTTCGGATGTTTAGCTTAGACCCAGCATGGTTCATACAGAGCTGTAGCGTCAGCTCTCTGCAGCTCAGCATGGGATAAATGGTTCATTAACAGACAGCGTTAGGATCTGACTCTTAAAAGAAATGTCCATTGCCAATTTATGAGGGATTTTCATCTGCCAAACCTTTATATATTGTATTCAAAAATTTAATAGAAAACCTGATTAGTTAGTCATGGTGTTTTACATTATGACTAATTTCAAACTATTACTGCTTCGGTTGATAATCACTTGTTCAAAGCTTTATGAGCAGCTGCCGTCATATCTGTTAGTGTCTGTATTTGGCATCAGAGGGATGATCCGAGCAAAGAAATGATTCAGATTCATGTTGTGGAAGTTGCCAAAGATGATTTTGACAGATTTGTGGCAATGGCATCTCCTTGGCACCCGACAGGATGATCCATGCACAGAGGAAAGCCATAAATCGGCAAAACCCCTTTTTTGAGGACAATATTTAGATCTTGCCAGATTCTTAAATCAATCTAAATATTCAAATGATTCTCCGGATTGTATTTACGATCGAATGAAGTGGCCCAACCTTAAGCCCTGCGCTTTTTGCTGAGAAACTTTGTTTTATGAGACTTCTCTAAAGAAGCTGGAAGAGGAACTGCAGCTTATTTTGTCCAAAATGAGGAGATCATCTCTGCTACTTGAGCTGCTTAGGAGAGATAGGAGTGTATGTGGTGGGTGTGTGTGTGTGTGTGTGTGTGTGTGTGTGTGTGTGTTTGTCTGTCTGTGTGGTGAGTGCAGTAAAGCGGCTGCACAGTAAAGACTATGTGTGGTGGGGGGCATTTCGTTGTGCTTCCTCTTGTGGGTTATAATTAATTGCTCAATCTCTTGTGCACAGTGTAATCCTGTTGTGTGCCTTTTGTCTTTGCAGTCATTTCTCCACTTTTGGCCTAATTGTTGCCTTCTGGATTCTCTCTTTTGCCAAATGTTCTCTTTATCTCTCTTCCCCCTGCTGCCTTTTGTCTTTACTGTAGCTCTTCAGCACAATCTGCTGTAGAAACTGTAGGTCAGGGAATGACAATAAAAATTACCGTAGGTTATTTAGAAAGCTGTAAGAAGGACGGGGCAATTTAGAGATACATTTTTGATGACGCAGAGTATTAGCATATCACTGAGGTAAGGGCTGTGCAATATGATTCAAATCTCATATTCCGATATAGATTTTTACATATCCAGATTATAATACTTATCACGATTTAGACCATTTTCTGTAAAATGTAATCTAATCTATTTTAATGTAAATTTTGCAGTGTAAATTGTTTTTTTTCCTTTATAAATTGTGACCCTAAACTGTTTAAAGATTATCGTCCTCCCCCATCCAGAAATCAAACTAAAATATTCTAGATGGGAATATTGCGGTTTTTCCCATTTTGCAGTCTGCACATAAGCAATCGGGGGAATGATGGCGTGGGCACAAGGTCCTGACGATACATGCATGCACAACCACAACCAGTCTTCTACTTAAAATAACAAAAATCATCTTTGAGAAAATAGTATTTGACATTTTTTTGACTTTTTAGTTTAGTCCATGTCCCATCTGCTAACATGGAGAAAGGAGGATTTATTGGATTGATACTGGAGCAAGCCATTAGGTAGTGATTTGGAAGCCTTAGCTTCACTTACGGAGAACTTGTCATTGTCGTCCATCTTTTATGTACATCTTGTATCTGCAGCTGTTATCCGCTTAATTCTTTTTTATATGATTTGCCGTGGATCAAAGCCTCTTAGAACGTCAGGTTATCTTTGTACTTTCTCACTCACTAGACTCTCTCTGTACTGTTTGACATGATTCTTGCGTAGGTGGTAAAATAGTTTAGTTGGATTTGAGTGTGTTGAGGCGGTATAATTAACATAAAGTCTGGATTTGTGGTTCAGACTTTTCTTATGTGAAACCATCTCCTGGTGACAGAAGTATCTCCTCTTTAACTATGATCTTGATAATCTTTGACTAGTCTGAGTTGTTTCCCTGTTCAAAATGACCATGTTAAGTGTTGCGTTCATTGTCCTCCATGTTTGCTTTCTTTGGGAAACTTATCCACCTGCATCTGTGCTGTGTGAAGGAACGCAAAGCATCAGCCAAATGATACATTGCCACAAAGAGTAATTAGCGACACAAAGAAATTAAAGATAAAACACAACATGAAGTGATATATATTCTATCAGCACTGTCCTAACTGAAGGCCTCCTTTAATGTGTTGTGTGTTGTTATATAGGTCTAATGAAGCCGAAGGAAATATTTTAACCATAATGAGTCTTCAAAGTGCGAAGATGTATCTCTACTGTGTTATTACTGTCAGTGTGTACCATACAGCTCAGGTACTGTTGGACTGATTTGTGCTGTGTTCTCATGGGAGATCTTTTAGTTTAGTTTTTTCCTTAAACACCAGACAAAGACTTGCAGGTGGGAGTTATGGTACATCATTATTCATGATCACTGTGCTGTAGACCATTTCAATTCTCAGCAAGGTCTGAAAATCAAACTGACAGCAACTGCAGTTTGCACTATATTCTTCAAAAAGACAAAATGAGTTTTAGTTGTGACATTAGATCGATTTGAGATGAAATCAGAGGTGTTACATTTTCTCCCACTGGTCTTGATATCTGATCATTTGAGTTCCTGCAGGTTGCAATGTTTCTGATTGGACACCTCTGGGACTCTCAAGTGTCAGAGTTGAACTGCTGAACGTGTTTCAAAACACTAACCCAATTTTTTTATTTGCCGTCGCAGGGGAAAGCTATGTTTGTGCATCAGAGAACTTGTACAAGAAGGTCGACTACACAAAGAACGTCAACCCCAACTGGTCCGTGAATGTAAAGGCCTCGGCGAGCCAGAAGAACATGCAGTCCTTAGCCGCCAAAGCTGCAAGCGAGCCCAGGGAGACCAAGGACTTTGTTCGACCCAAGCTTGTGACGGTGATGCGCAGTGGCGTGAAGCCTCGCAAGGCTGTGCGTGTTCTGCTTAACAAGAAAACTGCACACTCCTTCGAGCAGGTCCTCACCGACATCACAGAGGCCATAAAACTTGAAAGTGGGGTCGTGAAGAGGATCTACACGCTTGACGGCAAGCAGGTATGTCTCACCTTCAGCCCTCATACATCAAGCTCCCAGATAAGACATTTGATTAGAGCTCAACAGAGAAGTACAACACTACATACAATCCTAAGGTGTAATAGAGATGTCTCTGATTGGTGGACTTTGCTCTAACCAAGGAAGAGTTTACCACAACCACAAAAATCATGTCTTATCATCGCATCGTTCAGCGATACATTAACTTTACCTCAGAGCGATCATGATTTATCTTTCCAGCATGCTGCAGTTTTATAGAGATGAAGAAAAGAAAGAGGTTAACATCACTTAAACAAGGTCTAATTAAAGACGATGTCGTTGCTAAGGGATAATTCGCAATGGTCCAAGGGATGCATAGTTCCTTTGATCCTAAAATATTTATGTATGTGTGTATGTGTACATATGTCTTGTACCAATATCTTTTTTTCTCAGCATTTTGTGGTGAGGATTCTCCTCGTAGCTGGTCGGCTATGTTCTAGGCTTAAAACTCTTTTTAAAAAAAGATTTTCTGAAAGGTCAATGAATGGGAAATGTACTCGCGGAACCAGAATTGTTCTAAAAATCGGCGGTCACAGTTTTGCTCTATACTTGCAGCTGGAAACTTGTAATTGGGTCATGATGTGCAAATGAAAACCTCAAAACAGCTAAAACTCAAATGTACCAAGATTTTTGTCTTCATATCAAACTCAGAATAAAACTCTGTTCTAGGAATAAAGGTGGTAGAGCACATTAGTTACACAATAGAACATTTGTGGTCTGGATTGAGGTCAATCAGGTCATTAATCCTATTTCCACCCACACCCAGGCAGGTAGCTAGCATCAAAAGAAGCAGGAAACCAAATTATGTGTTCGTGAATGCAATAAAAACAACAAAATGCTTTTGTCCTCTCTGACCATAAGTCAACAGTGAAACTGCCAGTTCATGAGAACCTTGAACGTCCATGAGAACAACCTGAGCAAACAATGACATTCATTGTCTGCAGTCTTTATTCTCATGTCAGTCTCCCACGACATATTCTCCTGTCTTGTGGTTCAGGTCATTAGTATCCTGTCCACCTGCCTTTTGTTGTGGAGTTAGGTTTTAGGACACTGGTATTTTTTAGATCTGCGACTGAAAAGCTCAAGTCCTGGGAAGTTCTTCCCTCCACCCACTATGGCTGTGTACAAAGAGTCAAGCCCTTTATTGTTGTTTGATAATTTTGTCCCCCTTTGTTGCTGTATTTAGGGTGGGTGCATGCAGGTATTTTAGTAAAATGCTGAAATTTGAATGTACTCTGGAAATTTTTGAAATCCTTATGCTAACCCAATATGCTGACTTTGGAAAAAAATCTGAGAGAGTTAAAACATTTCTTTAAAGCTTCCCATCGTTCTTGAGACAGTCTGTCTGTCAAAAATGTGTCTGTATCCTCAATATTAATTCCCTATGTGATGATGGTGCTTGAGTTGTTGAGGTTTGAAATGCACACGTCTTGCTCCGTGTAACAGAAGCCACAGAGTAAAGTGTCCTGAGCGAGCTTGACGACTCTCTGGAGTTCACTGAATGGGATCATTTGGCTGATGTAGCCAAACAGAATTCAGGGCACAGGAATCCCCTTGAGAGGAACCTGTAGAGAGCCAGTTTCCACTGGCTGGCTGTGGGCAGTAAAAACACGCAGTGACGTCAAAACTCTGTAATATGCACCACAGTGTGGGATTAAAGGCAAAATACTGCCTGAATACAAAAATATAAATCCCAGTCCGGAATTTAATTATGAGCAAAAAGTGCTTATTCACTTATGTTCATCACACTGGCATTTATGGACATTTATGCTACATCCAACAATCTTTATTTCACGATATTGAAATGTGAATGAAATGTTGTGATTGGCTAGTTCATACTGCAGTCTAATTTGCCTACCTGATAAATTTAATCAGCAAATTTATATTTTTATTGGTAGAATTTTAGATTTTTTTACTTTCTCTTTGGCTCTGACTGATGTCCAGTTTTGAGATAAAGTTTCTCCACAAAGATAAATAGCCCGGTCAATCTGTAACTTTACATCTGGAAAGGGCAGAGATGTTCTGATACCATCATTCCCTCCCTGATAAAGATTTCGATAACTAAACTTTGTGTTTGAAAGAACAAAGAAAATCACTGTTTAATCTGAATTAAATTAATATACTATATGCACCAAACTTGGTATGGATTTTGGCACTAGCGATGCTTGACCCAGCATTTTTGGCAGTATCGAAGGCCTTTCTGATGCTAGTATCAGAACATCGCCAGTAAAGGCAAGAACATTTTTTCACATGTTTCTCTTTTAACACAATGAAGATATGAAAGACCATATTTGGTAAAAGGCTTGGCAATTGTCAGATAAGCAGTGCCTCAATTCCACACTGCTAATAAAGCACATTCATTTCTTGTATAGGCTATTATATCCAATCCAGGTTTACCATGAAGTTATCAGAATATAAAGTATATTAGACTAGAATAATATGTAGGTTAAAATCTGGGCACAGATGCAAAAGCACAGAGATCAAATGATCTGTATGAACTTTGGCTAAAAGTCACTCCTGGGGGAAGACTATTGTTTTCTCTTCACAGTCATAAAAGGACGTAATGTTTTATTCATGTTTGAGCGTTAATGGAACAATCTTGAAGGACAAGCAGCCACTAGGCAGGGTCACTTCAACTGGGAGGATATGGAGAGATCTCTGAGATCGTCTGAGTGGTCTATATCCTTTATATCAAGATGTGTATGATTTCATAACATAATAAATAGAATATGAATGAGTCCTGTGGTCCAACGAAAAAGGTTAGTTTGGTTATATATGTTTTTCTGTGCAGTGGGGGGTGACCTAATCTAAAACCTTGCACACGTCCCACCTGTATTTTGCTGCAGAGATCACATAGCTTTTGTTTTCCAGTCTTTTGTGAGTGGCAGTAAATGAACGGGGGTGTGGATGCGGAGCAGTCGTGAAAGCATGTGTGGATGTGCATACAGACATCTGTTCTTCAGTCCCCTCTTTGATATGGTTAAATGTTCACAAATCCTCGTGTGGGGACCTTTTGTCCTGTATTATTCATTACAGATGGACTGGGGATTGTGGCCTGCTGAGCTCCTTTAGGTTGTACTTCTTTTTTTTTTTTTTTTATTTTGTATTAATAAGGCACATGTGTGTATTGGAGGAGGGGCAGAGCACTGAATTGATAGATTAGGGAATTTGATTTTAATGCTCTCTCCCATGGGTGCAGTCTGGCCGCCCTGGGCGTTGCACTGATTTTTCCTACAGAAACACTTACGAAGATGTTTGGACATTGTGATCATCTTGTAGGATTGTGATTTTGTGCATTTATCTCTGTGGTCAGGTTTTTTTTTTCCTTGCTATACATTTTTAATGATTACTGCTTCCCACAAAATGTATTTAACAGCCACCCCATGCTTTAGCCATCCCAATCAGAGCATATTGATCCCGTTGTCATCGCTGTAGCTATAGATCGATTATTTCATGATTAGTGTCCATTGAGTCGTGCCGGCGCCTCGTGGCAATGCGCAGAAATGTGGGAAAAATGCTGCACACGTTGCGGCGCCTTTGTGTGCAGTGGCACACTGCAGCTGCTCTGTGGTGGAGGTGATATGGTAGAGGCAATATTGATGCAGCGCCCGCCCCTCCCTGACTCTGCGTTGATCCTCCTCTTCCCATTCCGTTGCGATAGCTGCTGGGACCGGTTGCTAGGAGACCACATCTCGGGCACAAAGAGAGCCCAGCTGGTGTGGACTGGTCTGTCAGATACCACATCCTGTAGTGGGTGTGAGAGTCTACTATCAATGCAAGCCTTTGGTTTTTTAAAAATCACGTCACATTATTATTTCTTTACCTGTACATTCCATCATTGGGTGTAGCATGATAGTGATGTTTGATTCTGAAAGATTAATTTGTGGTAGACTAAAAGGTGGCTCAGGTTGTGTTCTCTGTCTCTTTTTTTATAAATGGATGTTCCTCAGGCTGGATTTTAGCGTATTCCTCAGTGCTGTGTCGACTCTAAAGACAGCCTGTCGTCCTCTCTTTGTCCGGGAACAAAATCACTCCAATTTTCCCCTCAAATGTCGGTGCTTTTCACTTCAGTCAGGAAGGGTGGGGCCGGTGGATTCAGGAGTCATTTTCCATTCTAAGAGCAAATTAGGATCATTTTATTTTTGCTGATGGGGAGTAATTATTCAACGCTCCTCACAGAAAAGAAATGAAATAAAATTCTTGATTTGCCCTCACTGCTTCTAAAGGCTTCATTAAACTAGAGGGGGTTTATTTAATTGCTGGTACTCTATTCTGCATTCTTCTGTGAGAGAGGTGTCTGCACGAGAGAATACTTCTGATTTGCATTTAAGATCTACGACTTGTTCAGCAGAATTGCAGTTTGGGTGGTTGCCAAATCCTAATATCATTTGTAAAGAGAAATATATATGTCGGGAGGGTCCATTGTGTTGCTGTGTGATTTGTCCTTGTGAATTGCCTTGATGCAGGATTGCAGACGAGTCTCTCAGATTTGAGTGTCCTTTATTCTAAGCTGGTTTTAGAGTGAAGTAATTTTTTATAATCAAAGATAATGTATACAAGTGTCACAGAAGAAAAGAAACGGATGCTTCAGGCACAAGGTCACACCGTTATTGTCGAAGAACAAAAGACTCAAATTGGCTTTAAAAGCAAATAACTGATGCTGCGAAATAATTCACTGAATGGGAGATGGATAGAGGCGTGGGTTCAGGGCTTCCAGTATCCAGTGACTGGGAAGAAAAGCCTGATTCTTCCTGGTTATCAGTGCTCATGCAGTCTGCCTGCTCTCTGCCATGCTGCAGAAGCAGTTGTCATGGCAATAAGCTCCACTGTAATGGATTCAGGTTTTGACAATGGCTGTAATACGCTGAGTGTGCCCTTTACGCAGGGTCTTACCTGCCTGCTCTCTGCTCCTCACCTGTCACTACAGCCGCATATCAGTCACACACACACACACACACACACAC